GTAGAAAATTTTGGACACAAATTTATAATGAATTAGTTATAAATATTTTTTTAAAAAAAAAAGAAGAATCATCCACATGGAAAGAGAGTATTCAATTGACGATCCCAATAACATAAAATTTTTATATTTTTCTCTGGACATCTATTGAATATGCACATTAGTAATTTAGATTTCAGTAATTCAAATGGATTAGAATTTTAAATTAATGTTTCAAATTTTGAATTCAGCTTTGGTGGTATGTTTTAAGCTCCTTGTGCATTTAAATGCAAAGCTTTATGTTCTCTAATAATAGCCTTTTTAATTATAAATGAAATGAAGTCTCTTGCATTAAATCATAACGAAAAAGATTGTTATTTGTCTAATTTATCAAAACCTAATTTCATAGTATTTTCTTCATTTCTTTTTATTTATCACATTTCGCTTTATGAGAATAAATTTGACTGATTTTTAGAGGTAAATAAAATTCAAATAATTCAATATTTAAAATTTAGATTTTCGAAAACTTTATGAAAAAATACTAGAAATTGCCTTTCTCATATTAATATGACGAAAAAATACATCTTTAAATATTAATCAAAATTTATATAATTCAACTCTCGAAAAGTAAAATATAACCGTGTAAAAGATATAGATTCGAAGAGAAGATGAATATCACATAATGACATAAATGTATAATAATATTAATTAATTGTTTTATTTTTGCCATGCTAACTTCCTATTTTTATTTTTTTAATTTGAGGATGGGCGGCGGAATATAAAAAGGGTTTTTTTTTTTCATTTGTCTTTAATTATTAAAAAATAGAATTATTAAAATTGAAGAGTAAACTGCAGGCCAGCCATTTCAAGTGCAATCTGTTATTCTTGTATCATGCTTTCTATTTTTTTTTATAAGATAATTATAATATGAGTAAATTTTAGGTTTAGCAAACATAAAAATCATATTTATATGTAATAGCTATAGTTTGTATAATTGCACTCCATAGCTAACTTTATGTTTGCTATGACTATTAATCTATATATTTCGGTATACATATACATAAAAAATATGTATTTTGGTCTATTTGTATATTTCGGTATACAAATGGGTTCTGTATTTGTATATTTTGATATACAAATGGGTCATGCATTTGTTTATTTCGGTATACAAATGGGTCCTGCATTTATATATTTCGATATACAAATGGGATGGCAAAAAACATGAAATATTTGCTGCGAATTACAAATAAAAAAAATTATGGCTATATCATTTAATTTGAATTAATAGTTTGTTATTTCATACAATTTTCCCATATAATAATATAGCTTAGTTCTTTCATAGAAAATAAGAAAACCTAAGTAACCTAAGTATATAAAGGTAAAGTACCTTGTTTGATTTGTTCACCCTCTTAATCATGGATATTATTCTTGTGGCCACTTTTTCATGCATACAGATCTCCTTATTTTACCCCATATATATATATATATATATATATATTATATTCATACATTTATATTATTACATATCTTATCATTAATTAAGAATTTTATAACATATATTGAGGAAAATACACCTAGATACATTAAAAGAAGAGAAAAGAGAACGAGATGGGGAGGTAGGCAAGCGAGATAGTCATGTATCCCAGATACATGTGAATCACATTAGATACATGTATTTGTATGTATCTGGTGTGATTCGCATGTACCTAAAATATCATATATACAAAAGTGGCGAACGAGACGGGAGGAATCGAGGGAAGTAAGCTAGATTTGCCTATGTATAGAGATGGCAATGGGGCGGGATGGGTTGAGCTTAACCTGCAAAAAAATTAACCCATCCCGTATAACAACTTTTTACATTTTCAACCCGCCCCACTCCACCCCGCATAACCCCACCCGCATAAACTTTTGATTATTTCCCTTTTTAATTAGGTTTGATACTAAAAATAAAATTCATTTTCTCATTAAGTTGTATTAATTCAATAGATAATGACTTAAAATTTTATTGTTTAGAGGTTAAATTGGGATGCATGTAAGAAACCATATTAGTTTTGATTGAACAATTTTCATTTACTATCTTAAATATTTTAGTGACTTTAAAGAAATTATCTTGATCAATAATGCTCTATCACTCTTATAACATGTAAAAAATTAAAATTAAGTTTGAACCCGCATAAACTCGCTCAAACCCACAACCCTCCCCGCATTAGTTTTTTAAAAACCCACTTCAACCCTCCCCGCATAGCCTTAAAACCTCCCTGCCCCGTATTAGCCCCGCCCATTGCCATCCCTATCTATATATCCCAGATACATGCGAATCTACTTCGATACAATATATCTAGAACAAGTTACACCTAATTTTGGCTCTATGTATCACCAGATACATATATCTGGATGCATCAAAATCAGATAAGATTCGTAATATTACAAATTAGAGGGTATCCAAATAATTAGCCCCTAAACTAGTGAGATTTCTATAAGTTTCCCTTCCTATTTCTCCGATTTTTCTTGTGTCAAAAGGATATTCTCCACAATACTCCTTCCTTTAACAAACCATTAGTAGAAATAAGCAAATAGAAACGTCGTGTAGTAGATATACCGAGTTATCGCACTAAAATAAGAATGATTTTTTCCCCTCAAAATGTCAATTCATCTTAAGCAAATAAAATAAATTGAAAAAACAAAATAAACAAATAATGGAAGAAGGGAATCAATCCCCATTACCAAAAAAAGAAAGGAGCATAAAAAAGGTGAAAAGAATAATTTACAAGTGGGTAATAAATTGAAAAGTGAGGCCCATGAAAATGAAGGTGCATGTTAAATGTCACTATTAATGGGCCCATAATAAATGGACCAAAAGAAAAGCCCACATTGAGCAGCTGTGTGTAAAAGGGACATTTTAAAAAGGGGAAAAATAGTTCATGTTGACTTCAAATACCAAACCACAATTTGATTATTTTTTTAAAAAAAAAAGACTTTTACAGGATTATCCTAGCTGGATAATAAAATAAATTATCCATCTACATTCATTTACAAAATTGTGATAATTTGAAAATAAAATATTTGTGTCGTGACGTAAAGCTTCAGCTTAAAACTTTAAAGTTACACCAAATTAAACGCAACTGAAACATAGAGATAAAGAGATGAAACGGGTGAAACCTCAAAAAGCGGCCATTAAAAATTGCATAACCTAATTTCATATAGTAGGATTATAGTGTTATATACTTTAAAGTACATAACCAATGTATATATATGTTGAATATTTTATAAACATTTTTTTCTTAAGAAGGTATGAGAAAATATTTAAAAAATTAATATTTTGGTTTCATGGACATTTCATTAATTACCCAATAAAGAAATTCTTTGTGGACATTGGTTGATGTTACTTTCAGAGTCTTAAGTCCACTTGATTTGATTTTACTCATGTCAACTTCAATGTGATGCAACAAGAGAGGAAAAATTAACAAATAATTGGATTAGCTTTTTGTTTGCAAGCTATATTATTTTATTTATGTTTTTTTTTTTTGGTTTTCTCATAAATATCACACTATTTGTCCTCAATTGACAATCCAAGTTATAGTGCACAATTACATCTAGTTGTTCCTTTTTCAGTTGTAGTGTATGGTTTTTCTAACCCCAAGTGTTAACAATTAACTCATGTTGCCAAACTCCACAAGCATCATGCATTAGCTTACCTCCAATGACAGATTCATGATTCTCATCGAGTGGGTTCGAAAATAAAAATGTAGCGGTTGAATTTTGAATTTGTAACCTTAAGGTGAATTTTAAACCCCTAAACCACAGAACTAGCCTCTACCCGTGTTCAGGAAATTCAAAATCTATGCAACGTTATTTTTTGCTGAGGGAGTTCGGATGAACAACCTGGCAAGGCCCTAGATCCGCTCCTACCTCTGAAGGGATGATAAATCAGGAATACAAAAACAAAAACAACAATTGGACTAGAGAATGCGATTGCATTATAAGGTCTCAATTGAATAGATCGAGCAAGCTTCACTTGACGTAACATGAAACCTATCTAGCCAAAAGCTCCATGGAGAGCAACAAAAGTCCATAGACCCCCCAATTGACACCAACGAGTAAAATCTCCTTGTGTTTCAGGACCCCATAATAACAACTACGAATGTGCTAAACTATTAGCAGGAGTAGAAACCGCGGCAGTTAAGAAATTGAAGCCTTCCAAATAAGAACTGACCAATCCATGGGTATACCATGAAGTTACAATTAGAGATGAGGTGTGTTAGGTTGGGTTCCTACTTCTACCAAGGAAGTCATTTTCCTTGTTTTTAAACAACTTATCTACATAGAGAAAATATTTACGCAACATTTTGACTAACAAACATTTGAAAATATTTTCTCCGTACCAAACACGAATGTGACAAACAGATGTTTTACTCTTTCAATGGTCAATCTGGATATGCAAAATATAAGAACAATATGAATTGGATGAGTAACTCTCCAGTTTTCACCTCAACTTTCTGGCAAGAAAATGCAGAGACTGAATTCCTTGTTTCCCAGTTCCCACCATTATTGTGCCTTTCTCCGAGAAGATTATTTTAGATGAGAGCCAGCTGAAGGGCTTCTACACGGTCGAGTAAGATGGAAGCATACAAGTTGTTGGGTCAAGGTACATTTGGATAGAACAAACAACTTGCAGGATACACCTAAAGATTATTTTGTCAAATCATTTGTGGATTGTGTTTCACAGCTAAATGAAGAGGCTTCCCCACTGTGAAGCTCGAAATATGGGACGAAAAGTGGAACACTTGAACACATTATAAACAGGAATTAATTAAGGCTGTGTCATCCAACTGCCAATCATCCTTTGATATTGTTAAATTCAACTGATCCTGAAATCGTGAACGAATTAGAATGAGGATTGTGATTATGGTTTCATTATCAGCAACACAGAAGTTAAAATTAGGCTTGTGATTATAGTGAAATTATCAGCAAAATGTCAATATCATTAATACAACTGCACAAGCATTATGGGAGAAGGACTTTGAGAAAAGAAAATGGATACCTCTAATTTATCGGCGTCTTTGTTTGGAGTAGCTTGGGGGTCTGACACTTTGAGATCCTCTACCGGGAGAATCCATTGATCCTCTAAAAGAAGCATAAGCTGCTTTTGCTGAATCTGGGACAGAATCCAGAGAAATTGACTCCACAAAGCATGCTGTATTGATTCGTGTCCTCTCGAGTTCAGATTGAAGTAGCTCAGAACTATACTGCTGCGCAAGAGCCTGTGAAATTCAGAACAATCCAAAGGCATGTAAGAAAAGGTGGTGAAACACTTCAATGACAATGTCTAAACTATATAATTTGGTCCAAGGCAAATATCATAGCCAACAGAAAACTTGCTGGTTGGACTGAACTTTGTGATAATAAACAATATTCTGTAAGAAAATTTATGTCTTAACAACGTCTAAAGCATATTGCATAGAAAAAGGACACGACAAAAAATCTGGAAAAAAGTCTATAGAGAAAGTATTTCATACAATCAGATCATCAGGTGATATAGTCCCTCCTTGCTGCCTTTCATCCTGAAGTGCATCATCATTTCCACGTGTTTGCCGACGACTATGGCTTGGAGTCTCAACAGTCTCTGGGACACTCTCAGTTGCTTTCTCTAAAAGGACCCCTTGTAAAGTTTTTAGAGACTCCCTTGCTTCATGTGTAAAGTAAGTGTTCAATATGGTCTCAAAATAATCAAGCTGCAGGATTAAGCCATACAGACTATCAGAGTCAACGCCATGCAGTTAGGCATGGGAGAGCATGACCTATCCATTTCAGTTCCCTGTTTTATTCTATCAACTTTCAGTAGTCCATAAAAAATATGTAGAGAAGCAAATGCAAGAACATGGAATCGAATCTGAACCCTCTCTACATTTTTGTTTTAAAGTATATTGCTGCTTCTATTTGTTGCAACCAGCATAAAAGCTTAAGCAATACAAAAGCACTCAATCAAACAAAAGCAAAAAACCAAAAAACCAAATTGTATTTGCACCATCCAAACAGAAGCTTTCTAACAGAAAAAAAAGTGATTCAGGGAAGCACTAACAATTTAACTAACCTCAAGCATAAGCTGACAAAAGCCATTCACGTCTAATACTGTAAAATCTGTTTCTTGGTTTTCATGGAAAAGGCTTAAGAAAGTGTCTATTAGACCTTCAACAAGAATACCAAGTGTCTTATCCAACAGAGGCTTACAACCGGCAAAGACCTGTAAGAGAAAAATCAAAATTAGAAAGTTAGACTAAGCAATGCGGGAGAGAATGGTATAAGAAAAACATCAGACAAATCAATTAAAATCTCCGTCTACCCAAAATATGAACGAGCAACAATATCCCCAGAAAAGTGTTGGAGAATTTACCTCTGCATGTACAGCAACTAAAGTGTGTAGTAAATCCACAGCAGCATCTCGTACTCCCTGCAATGCATAGAAAATCATGCTATCATTCCAAGTGGAAAACATTTTCTGTTATAGCAGGCCAAAATGAGAAAGACTTCTTACCTTAACTGCTGGTGCAGCACCCCATTGTACACCACTCTCCAACAAATAGTTTACAGCAGCTGTTCTGAACAGATTTCTCTGACAAAATATTTCCAAAAAACAGAATATTAGGAATCCTCCAATCAGGGACAAGGCAAAGTTTAAGAGCAATTCTCGATTCTTTTAGAGAAATCTTCTCAAATATCAAGCACAAAGTATCAATATCTTGTTGTCAGCTTTTGGTTTTTTCAGGTTACACCTCCCAATTATAGAGGATCAAGTCATCAGGGGTCCGTGGGGGGGGGGGGGGGGGGGGGGTTAATATAGGCAGAGAGGCTATCTGTTCAACTCGGTGTTCCTTGAGGATATTGATAGAAGACACATTGTTTAGGGAAAAAAGAAGTAAAAGGACAATAATTAGGAGAATACTAAAGAGGAACTGACACTTTTTTAAGTGACGATACGGAGCATAAACCTTTTATAGTTATGAAACTAAGAATGTTCTTAAGTCATTTATTTCAAAAGGCACAGGTATCTCTGATTATAACTAACAAGTTGTGCATCTAGCATAGTGCTTTGTGCACCATTTGTATACTTGGAATTCCTACAGACATGTACCTTAATTTACTTCGGAAAATTTCTTTAAGAATTCTCGATAACAATAACAGGTGGAAACCATAATGAAACAAAGCAGAAGGATATCCATTACAGATGAATACCTTTGCCAAAGTATACTGCTCAAGAACATTCTCTTCAAGCCCAGAGAAAGATGCAATAAGATCTTGCATATCAGCGTCCTCTTCATCCTTGCCCCTACGGTAGCACAGCACTTTAGTATCAGTGTTAGCAAAGGTGAAAAACGTAGAAAAACGCCGAGTATCTTCTACGGATTTCTACATCACACCCTTTAAGGTGCGACCCTTCCTCGGAACCTGATAAACATGGAATGCTTTGTGCAATGGGCTACTGTTACTCATATCTTCTACGGCTTTATTAAGTACAAAGCGAGAGCTGAGTAAACAAAAAAAAGTAGAAAAGAAACAAAGCTATATACATATTACGTAGTCCAGGAAAAAATAACTATGAATACAAATAATTCTATGGAAACAGAGAATATGGAGTGCAAGTTCAGTGACGTGATGTGTGAGAGGAGGTGGAATTGAAGATCAATATGCAAGTCATACTCAAGAGAGGAAGTTTCAAGTATCTTGGGTCTATAATCCAAGAAAATCGGGGAGATTGACGATGATGTCGCACAGCTAATTGGAGCAGGGGTGGGCGAAATGGAGGCCCACAGCCGAGGTGTTGTGAGATAAGAATGTGTCGCCAAGTGATAAAGGTAAGCTCGTTAGACTCACATTGTCGTATGTGGCAGAGCGTTGCCAGTAAGAACACGCATGTTCAGAATATGAAGGTAGCGGAGATGAGGATGTTCATATGGATGTGTAGGCATACTAGGAGAGATAAGATTACGAATGGAGTTATTCAGGACAAGGTAGGAATGGCCTCTATGGAGGCCAAGATGAAGGAAACGAGGCTGAGATGATTCGGACATATGAAGATGAGATGCACCGGTAAGGAGATGTGAGAGGTTGGCTACAACAGGTTTTAGAAAAGGTAGAGGCAGGCCGAGGAAGAACTGAGGGTGGTGATTAGACAAAACATGACATATCTTCAGCTTACTGAGAACATAGCCCTAGATAGGAAGGTCTGGAGATCGAGGATAAGGATAAAGGGTAATGGGTATTCATACTTTTATGTGGTATAGATAGGGGGCTAGTCTTCTCTTCTCATCTTCTCCTTATTTAGTATCTGCGTAGTATCTTATTCTTAATCCTACCACTACTTTTTTTTTATCTCTCCCCGGAGCTCCCACCTTTTTTCTCCCTTGATGACTCAAACCCACAACCTCAGAGTTGGAGGTGGAGAGTGTTACCATTTGAGCAATCCCCTCTTTGTTCCGTTTGCTTTGTGTATTGCAATTTTGTTGTCGTTATTTTTCTTTTGATCCTACTTTGATTTGACTTCTTTTGAGCTAAGGATTTTTTGGAAACATCCTCTCTACGCAAAAAAATAAATAGGAATAAGGTTTGAGTACATCTTAGCCTCCCCAACCCCCACTTGTGGGACTACTCTGGGTATGTTGTTGTAGTACAAATAATTCTCTAGATCAAAGGATTGAAAAATTTAATAAATTGGAATATCTGAAGAAAATCATGTCAGTCAATTTCAATAATCATTTGAATTTATGATAAAGGGTACAGATTAGGGACTAGTTAAGATTACTTGGTGTCTAATTTCCTATTTATACCTACTCAAATAATCCTAAAATCAGTATAGTACTTTGTCATTTCCCTTTTATTGTTTAGTGTTGTTCTATTTATGGAAGAGAGCCAAGAACATAGAGGTACATGCAGTGTCTGTGCTAAACCGCTGCTTAAGCAAGATATGTGCCTAGACTGCATTGCACCAACCCTCAAGAATGAAGTGCATCTCAGGTGGGGATTTAAAGACACTAGATAGTATGATGTTAATTTGATGTTAGGTAGCTCGACAAAATGTTATTCTGTCAAAGTCTCTAAAGATGAGATGACTGCCAAAAAGAACTATTCAAGTGAACATTTTAGGTCCTAATGGCACGCGCATCACTACTTCTTTGTTCAGAGAATATCTTTCAAATTCCTGGGAAAAGAAAAAGTTTTCCAACTAAAAAGTTAAGAGATAAACCCTTAAAAAAAAGACAATAGTTTCGTTGTTATCTTACAGAAAGTATAAGAGTTTCAGAAAACAAACAAACTCCTATTGCCCATCGAATTGCCAACTCTTTAGGCAATCAACCTGGACGTAGTTCTGCAACACATTGATATAACGAAGTACCCTTAATCCTGTCAACCCTTATTGAGTGGATTGTTCGCAATGTTTCTGACATTATATTCGACGGAAGAAATCATATGAAGTGGACAAGCTATACAGTACTAGAGAGGTACCTGTACTGCTTAACTTGATTTAAAAGCTATAAAGTACTCGAGAGCTATTATTGTACCTCGACTGCTGCCAAGTTCGTCTGTACTTGCTGTACAATTCATGAGCAAGTTCATCTTTGAAAAATCCAATATTACTTACGACCATCAGCAACTGTCGATGTGGATTAACAATACTTCCTGGAAGAGGATCCAATGATTTATCTTCTGGTTCAGCATGTCCATTTTGAAAATGTGAACTCTCTCTGTCATATTCGTTCAGAAGCTGATTGCCAGTGTGACCCAGCTGGCCTAATTAGAGTGTAAAATTTTGTATTATATTCCAAAGTCTATCAGCTACTGAAATGCTGAGGTATCAACTGCTTTACATACCGGCAAAGTTAAGCAAACAGTTCAAAAAGGCAAGTCTAACAGATTCCTGAATTTCTTGAAGCAGCAAGAATATGTCCTCTAACTTCATAGCCTCATTCCTCAAAGACTGGATCATTCTGGAAAGAATAAAAATACAGAAATGAGTGCAATAATCGACCAACTGTTCGTACATTTTGCAAAATTTATTCCGAGTAACAATTTCAAGTCTATTTCCTTAAGGCCTATATTACAGTGCCCAAGCAACTTAAGAAGGCAAGAGGCACTACATCTTCGGTAACAAGAAAATTATGTATCTGCTAAAGATAGAGCCAGAAAAAGATCTTTGGTGTATAATCCTGCATATAAGTTCCGGTACATAGACCAAATAATACAATGCAAGCAAAAGTTCCTAAATTCATGGAGATATAGAACAACATATAAGTCATCATGTTTGCATATTCGTATTTTGAGTCCAATAATTCCATATCAGATTTGGCCTATGGACGAATATGTAAAGCAATATCAATGAGACTTCTCAATATAATGCTAAGAGTAGCTAGGATTTCCATAAGAAGATGCCATTCGAAATTGTTTCACTTATAAAACATTCAAGGAGGAGTTGTCACAATAATTAATGGTATCAATAAGCATAACTAGTTACAGTAAGTCAATAAGTATCACCAAACCACAGTACAATTCAAATCAAATCCCCCTTACTTAGTATGTCTGGACACGAGCGTGTGTCAATAGCACTGAGGAAACACGAAAGTCTATTTTTAACATATATATTTCTTTGCGAGCCTATGTATACTTGAATCTCTCTTGATAGCTTCATAAACACATGTATTTGGATGCACATATTTTATATTTAAAATAGTTGACACTAAACTAAATGACTTCCGGGCATACATTAAAGGCAATTTTACAAGTGTTTTGTATATTGAAAAGAAGCTAGCTAGGGAAAAACACTTCAGCTTACCGCGATATGTAGCAGGAGGGTTAGATCACAGGTACAGATATGTGTAAAATATACATACAGCATTTTGCGACATCTATAACTTACGTATTGATCTGATCCATTGCAAATGTGATAATTGAACGGAAAGCCAGAGGCAAGGAAGAAATTGTATATGGAGATCTGTTCCTCTCTAAGATAGATACTGGGATCCAGGTCTCATCTTTTGTTATCTTCTCAGTTGTAGTACGCATCCAAGAACAGAGCCTCAATATATTGATTTTTGTGACCTCAGACTGAAGTGTGCGCAATGCCGTAACTGTTAATCACCGGAGATATCACTTGGAAACATTTCACAGACAATAGTATATGTCAACTTGGAAAATTAACATACCAGCAACTGGAGGTGCTGATTCTTTGGCTTCAAAAGCACGACATGCTTTAGATATCTCTTTTATGGCATCACTCATGTATGGGCAAAGAATGTTTGATTCTTCAAGATCTCGAAATGTGTTCTGAACCTGTGAGTAATTTCAACATTCAATGATGTGCGTTAGGAAGAAGCATGATACATACTAAATCATAAAAGCTTATCCGATCTACTAGAAAAAGCTCCATATCAATTTTCAAATCCATTGTCAGCTAAAACAGACTAATTGCACGTTTGGCCAAGCTTCTGGGAAGCTAAAAATGTTTTTTTTCTTCCAAAAAGTGCTTATGTTAGAAAGTTGGGGTAGCGGGGAAATAAGTGCTTTGAGTTGTAGCATAAGTTGTTTTTCAGAAGCTAAAAGAAACACAAATTACTGTTCTAATATTGGCAAAAGTGTTCTTCTAATTGATTAGTCAAACACAAATTGCTACTCTCCAAAAGTACTTCTCCGAGAAAACACTTCTGACAAAAAGCACTTTGCGAATAATCAGATTTTACTTTATCAAAAAAAAAAATTTCTTTATCAAAAAAGAAGAAGAAGCAGATTTTAGAAGTTTGACCAAACATATTATAGAAGACACAAGAGGATGTATAAGCTAGCAGTGTGTATGACAAAATTGAAAACATAAGATATAAAGCTAGCACCACCAAGATAGAAGAGAGGTAAAACTCAACCCATGAATGTCTATTTCCTAACAAGTCTACTAAAAAAGAGGATGTCATGAATATGAGGATTAAAAATTGTACGGTCTAGATGGTATTCCCTGTACAAACATGGAAATGGCCAGAAGAAAGCACAGTAGCATGCCTAACCAAGCTATTCAATGTTATATCATGGAGTAAAAAAGGTCAACCGAAGAGAGAGCATGTTGGTTTTATTATATAAGAAAAAGGAGAAACAACATACTACTGCAGTATTAGACTTACGATCCATAGATTGAAATTTGGGAAAGAACTATCAGGTATAGATTTAGGGACATTATAAGGGTGATAGAGACAAGTGTGACTTATGCCTAGTACTTACAGTAGAGTTTATATGTTTGCTAAGAAGAATTTATAAGAAGAGGAAGAAGGAAGGATATTCCCAGAGAAAGCATACAATAAAGTGCCAAGAAAGTTCTTCAATTATAGGTTCTTGGTATGAAAGGAATCCATATCAAATACGTATATAAAAAGATAAATATGACTGACTAGTCACAAATTTGAGAACAATGAGAGAGAGAAAGGTTCTGGGAGTGAAAAGAATCCATATCAAAATATGAATTACATCGAAGATTAATATGAATGGAAGACCCCAAGTATGAGAATAATGTGAGAGAAAATGAAGATGGCAGAGATGAGGGTGTTTTGATGGATTTGGGTTTACTATGAGAGATAGGACGAAAAATGAGGATATCCGAGACAAATTGGGAGTGGCTTCGGTGGAAGACAAGATGTGATGAGGAGATACCCGGCTGCCCCCATCCGTAGGTGTGAAAGGTTGGCTATGTATGGATTTAAGAGAGGTTACTAGAAAGGACATGGCACTGTTGCAGTTTACTGAGGACACCGAGGACATGACCTCAGATAAGAAGTTGTAGAGGACACAATTAGGGTAGAAAGTTAGAGATAGGAGTGCGTGCATACTAGTAGGTAGGAGTGCATTGTTTTGTTGCCCTTACTAGTAGTCGTAGGACTACCCTTATAATATCTTGTTCTTCAATTTTTGTTGCCATCTATGGTTTCGTGTAGTTCGATTATAGTATTATTTTGTTGTAGTACTGTTCTGCTACTATTTGTTGTTTTGTTACTACCTATTGTCTCTTGTACTTCCATTATGTCTTTTTCTAGTCTATTTTTGCCTTGGGTCAAGGGTCTATCGGAAATAGCCTCTCTACCTCAACTATGAGGTAGAGTTAAGTTCTGCGTACACTCTACCCTCCCCAGATCCCACTTTGTGCGAATACGCAAGGTATGTTGTTGTTGAGATACAAAGATTGTGGATGTAAACCAAGGATTTCCCTCGAGCCTTTGCTTGTTTATCCTAGATGAGCTAATTAATAGTTTTTGGAATGAGGTTCTGTGGTGCATGCCTTTTGCAAATGATATTATTTTAATTGACAAAACTAGTAAGGAAGTAAAACAAAAAAGAACTCTAGAGATCACGGGTTTTAGAAAAGTAGAAGCAAGACATAATTTACAGATTGCAACATCCATAACAACGAAATGAAGAAAGATTGAATGGACTTATTGGAGCCCAAACACGCACAATTCAGATATCTAGACTCAATCTTCTAGGAGATTGGAAATGATAGATGAAGAAGTAACATATAGAACAAAATAGGAGATTTGAAATGGAGGGAGGTCAACTTCGATGCAGTACGAAGATGCCTAAAAAGAGTAAAGCAAATGCTAGAAAACAGTGCTAAGACCTGCAATATACATGGGAGTGAATGGCAGGCATCTAAGACCAAATTATCCACACTATCAATGTAGTAAAAATGCAGTAATTTGAGATACAAAATAAAATCACACAAGATTAGAAATAACCACATTAAGTAGAGAGCACAAGTAACACATATGGGTCTTTTGGTTGGGAACAAGTTATCCAGGGATTAGCTATCCTGGGATAACTTATCCCATCACTATGGTATAAATGGTGGGATAAGTTATCCCAAACATGACAACCAAACAAGACACAAATTTTTTATTTTTTTGAAACTGGTAACATGTACATATATATATATGAATTAGATCTGCACCAGAACTTAACACCAAAAAAGGAACAAAAGAATACAATTCATCTTGACTTTCTGCATAGGATTGCTTTTGTCTTAAAAAAATTCTGTAGTTCCTCTCTTTCCAAATTGTCCACCATATACAAGCTAGGACAAGTTTCCACCACTTCTTTTGTCTCACTGCACCACCATTATAGTTCCAACACTTCAATAAATCACACCTTGTTGCTGGCATAGACCATCTTAGTCCTACCAAGTTCAAAAAAAGTTGCCATAATTGTCCAGTTATGGGACAATGTAGAAACAAATGGCTATTGTTTTCTCTGGCTGCACCACACATACAACATCTAGAGCATAGATGAAATCCCCTTCTTATGTTTTCTTGGGTGAGACATGCTTCTCTTGCTACAAGCCAATTGTAAGGGGCCTTAGTCTTCGAGATGAACTTCCATGGCCACTGGTCAAATTGTGCATTTTGTCTAATCTGGTAGTTGTATGCAGATTTGACAGTGTAGACTCCATCTCTTCCAGATTTCCAGCACAACCTATCCTCAGATTCTTTGAAGCTTTGGAAAGATTCCAAGGTCTTGAACAAGTCCACAACTCTTTCCAATTCCCAATCATGTAATAATCTTCAAAAAGTAATATTCCACCCATGTACTCCTTTAGCTGATTCAAGGTTAATATCTGGTAACGTAGCAATAGTGTAGAAATCAGGGAACAAAACTTTTAAAGGACCATGCCCAAGCCAGTTGTCATGCCAAAAGAGAATTTTCCTCCCGTTGCCAACTTTGAAACTGATATTTCCAGCCAAAAGTGGCCAAAAAGATCTAATGGCTCTCCAAACTCCAATTCCAAAGGGACAATTCACAAAATTTGAGCACCACTGGTCATCTTGGCCATATTTATCATGTATAAATCTCCTCCATAATGCATTAGTCTCCAAGTTATATCTCCATAACCATTTCATCAACAAGCTTTGGTTATGGGCATTGAGGTCTCTAATGCCAAGTCCTCCATCCTTTTGCTGGTGATGAGGCATTCCCATTTGACCAAATGCATTGCTTTCTTTTCTTTGTTGCCTTACCAAATGAAATTCCTCAAGGAATCTAATCTTTTCAAAACCTTCCCATGACTATTTATGTTTATCCCTCACACCAAACGACCCCATAGAGTATAAAAAAGAAGTCACTTGGGATGGTCTAGCCATATATAACGTAAAGATCCAAATGTACTGGTTTGTGTGTGTGACTATATGAAGATTGATTATGTTAAAAGGGACAAAATAGACCTAAAATCACATGGACGAAAGTTCTCAGAAAACCTACAATTTCCCGAAATCAATGAAGATTTAACTAAGATTACAATAAAATATAGGCATACCAACTAGTTGGGACTAATACTTAGCTATTGTTGTTGTCACAGTTGCATTAGGTATGATATATGTCTGAAGAAATGGTTAGAAACTTGTATCAGTACAACTATAAGTGAGGGATTTAGAGCTCGTCTAATTTTAAAGAACTCTTAATTTACACTAAAATGAATATTTAGCAGTATTAGAATTAAATGGGACAAAGTAGAAAGCAATGGATATAGAGATTCACATAATATATGTGCTACATCCCATAAAAAGAAAAACAGAAAGAGCTTAAGTTGACTATAAACTTGTGCCATAAATCTAAGGATCTTTTATTTCTGGAATCATCGTGAGAATTTATATTTTGCAGGAAAGTCACTTCTAACTACCTGACTGTCTTTATCTTTCGATGAGATCTAAGCTAGTCCATTTTAATATGGATTGTGATAGTCGGATTCTCTTCTGAATTAGGCATGGTTAAACTGGTTGTTTGGCAATAATGGTACTGTTTGTCTCAGCAGAAAGTGATACAAAAGGTAAAAGATAAAGACCAATTTTAGAGGAAGCATTTACCTCGGATCCATAAGCTAATAAAGTACTCTGCAACATCCCAGCAACTTCATCAAGAGAATGACTACAGTACTTTCCATCTCCTACTTTTTCTTCAGTTCTCTTTGCAGAGGCATTGACATTTGAATCAGAAGACACCTGGGATGCCTATTTACAAGAAAAGAACCATTAAATCAAAGAGCTAGAAAATGGAAGCAATTTTCAATAGAAAAGACTGCAAAACTAATGCGCATCCCCAAAATTGGAGAAGCGACAAATTTCTCTAGTAACGAGAAAAAAATGGTAATAACTAGATCTATCCCCAGGAATATACCACTTGAAGTTGCCAAACATTACAAAAAGAATGAAAGAGAAACTATAATTAAAAGGAATAAGATAGATGGCCATCACAGATGGACACAACCAAAATTCAGTGCGGCAATGGTGCAGCAGATTTCAGCTATCTAATCACGGATGCTTGTTTTCATAGTGCCAAGAACCCAGATGTTGAGGTCCGGAAGTGTGCTATTTCACAGTACTACCAACACAAAAAGTGGCAGAAAAGTAATGATACTGAAAAATAAATGGGTAATGTTGAGAATACTATGAAATTTGCTGTCTACAGGGATGTTTTGCATCAATAGAATGCTCGGGAGATGCAAGTTAATTTTTATATGCTAAATCAACTTCACAAACATGTGAGACCTGGACAAGAATCACTTATGATGAACTATAGCAAAAATCAAGGAACCTTTATTTGTATCCAGACTGAGTTACCGAATGTGATTGGATTATATTTTACAATCCCCGTCGATATACTTATTGTATATGGGACTTAAACCCTTTTCTGGAAGCAATAAAATTTCATAGCATTATGCTTCGACTGGCCTGTGTTAACGACCATCATTCAGATACTTATCCTTTTCATCAAACCTCCAAGTAAAAAAATATTTTAAAAATTACAATATCTATCTTAAAATGCCCACAACATCTAAACTTAGAAAATTTGCATCATAAGACCATTTGGACTTTTCAATCTTCAGAGATTTTGCATACTCTCTAGAATCAGCACTCATTTTTGAAGAGTGAGTTCACCTAGAAACTTGCAAATCAACCATCTGATTTAAGTTGGACAAGATGAAAGCACAAGAAATATTTCTATAATTAATTAGTTTCAAACATACATCAGAAAAGTTTTACATGTCCCACGACTTCAACATGTGTAAGCAAACTAGTCAGAGTAAAGTGGTCCAAAATCGCCGCTAGTAATAGATTCTGAAAAAACAAATTTAAAGGGGAAACAAAGCAAGATTGATTACATATGGCAGGTACTAATTTATCAATTTTATTCTGAAAGTGCATCAGAGCCTCAAATTTACTCCACAAAAGCTACCATGTCACTGACTTGGTAGAATGGTAGATGACAGAGGATATCTTAATCATACCATCATCATCATCATATCATCATATCATATATTATTAAAAGTAGGAAGCTCTAAAATGCAAAGTTGGATTACCATTTTACCCCTACACTAAATTAAAATATTATAAATTATTTAATTAATCTATTAAATAATAATCATGTATCATATTACAAGTGGAAAGGCCCTAAATGAAAAGTTACATTACAATCAATCATAATATCATATTTTTGTATTTTGTTCGCCATTTTTTATAAACATTTACTGCATTAATGACTTAATAAAATCCTCACACCATAAATGTTGAAGTAAATTCCACCTAGCAATATTTTTAAGACAAAAGGCCAAATAACCACTTAATACCACATATAAAACTAATTAAATTGGTTTGTATTTAAACCCAATTAGGAGTTTTTTCTTCTTTTGCATTAGTCTCTTCCATGTACTGTTTTTCATCCAAACTCCCAAATTCTCATATTAACCTTTCCTTCATCTTCATAATTTATAATTAAAATGATTTTAAATGTGTGTTAATTTTTGAATAATTATACTGCTAATTAATTTTTGTGCCACTTCATTCTTTATTTTTTTGTGTAATGTGTATTAATCTCTGAAAATTACACTACTATTTAATTCTTGTGCCTCCTCATATTCCATTTTTTCATTTGTTCCTTGTTTTTTTCCCCTCATGCTTTACATTTAATTAGCCTAAATGGTGTATTAAATTAAATAACATTTCAAAGTACAACCATTTGGCAGTAGAAAAAAAAATATTCGTTATCATGCTATACCACAATTGTTTTATCCTCTTCATTTATGGGCAAAATCTTTCCAACCAACTTTATGTGTCTTTCCGTGAGTGCTTTACAATCTTCATTTTCATTTATCATCCTTTTATCTATCTGTTAGTCCAAATTGCATGTCCAAACAAAACTTTAACTTCATCTCATGATTTCATTTCGTATGACCAAACGGGCCCTTAATATCTAATTTCTAGTCTTAGAATATATGGACTGACCTGATGAATAATGTAAACGGGATAAGAGAGTCTCATTACCTTTGCAAATTTCCCACTGAACACCGAAACAGAAACTTTCCAGAAGGCAGGTACATGATGGATAACAACAGCAGTCAATCTACGTATATATTTTCCTCTAAAAGCATCACCTTGTTCACCGGTCATCACTAACAGTTCCGAATCAATGTCTGACTGACATATATTTATAACATTTAATGAGGATCATTAATAAGTAGTCAAATTGATAATCACAACAGATTCTTATTACAGACAGTAATGCTTACGGAATGGTTCATATCTTGCTGAATTTGCCTCCATTTTGCATCATATGAAGCTTTGGCTCTCATCTCATTCTGTAAATTCTCCATCCTAGCTTCATGATCTAAAGAACATTTCTCAAGCAAGCCTCGAATTCTGAGATTCTGAAAAATAGCATAATTACATCCAAAACTTTTTCCTATGGTAGATAAGTCGGCATCAAATGTCATTCATAAAGCTAGATATCATTTGCCACATCCATAAGGGGAGACACTATCTTAAAGGGGAAAAATAATGGCAATCATTATTAGGAAGAGAAGAGGTTTTTTTCACAACATACCCTGCATTTTACTATTCTATGAGAATTAAGCAATGAAAAGCCAGATTTCTCAAACATGAAAGCATAGAAGTTCAGAGGAGATAGATAGAGAATAAAGCTAGAGCCTAGAAGTACTAATGTTACCATATGTTTTACTATTGATTAGTTAGAGCAGTGAAAACCTTGAAACAGTATAAGATCAGTTTGTTAGTAATAAAACAGTGAGAAGATAAAAGTTTTTAAGGGACTCACTATTTTCTTTATTTATCCCAATAGCTGGTTCTTATTCAACATTTAAGACAATATTAAACTGCTTAAATGTTTTTTAGTGGCATAAAATAACTTAAAGAACTGACCAATAAGAATATCGTTTTAAATATAGTAGTATCGTTTGTAGAACTAAGTTCACAACAAACAAATAACTTAAAATATCTTACTAGGTTTTAGACTTTATTGAATGCAAATGGTGGGATTAATATGATAAGCTCTGTAAAACTAGCCAAATTTTTCTTTTAGCTTCGTCTTTTCCTTGAATCTTTCTGAGTGACTCATGGAAACGGGAGAGACAAATTAATGGTCTTTTCACTGTAAGATCCTTCTATCATACATTGCTGAGAAGGGAGAACAAGACTTCTCTCGGTCCTCAATGTAGATCCCTAGAGCATCATGAACATATGTTTTTTGCATTATTAGCATCACGACTACATACATATACATCTAATAAAGAGGAAGATTACTCAAGTTAGAGGGTGTTCCCTGATTAAGCAGGGTATCCAAGGGAAGACATGATTGTTATTACTTCTGGTACTAACCCAAAAATATTGTTGTTACTTCATTGATAGGTGGCACATCAACTATGGAGTATACTATGGAATCTGTTGGGTAATTGAAATGGGAGAAGCGGGTTACGGATTACCATACAAAAATGTGTTGCACAGCTTGGCTTTAAGGAGCAAAGGGAAGAGAAGTAAAGCTTGGGAAGTGACCCCTGTGAACTGATGTAGACTACGTGGAAGGAAAAACATTGATGTTTTATAGAGATCAGTAGTATTTCAATGTTTTCTAAAGTTTAAAGCATTTATGCATAGAGAACAGGCTACCCTTCGTAACACATTTTTTAATGAAAATTCACTTTTTCTATAGCTCTTGAATACGAAACTCTCCCCATTAGTTTACATCAAATGTTATCACCTTGGTCCAATTTTCTAGAGCATTGACCTTGATAGAATCAACTACAATTAGGGCTCTAAAAGCCAACAAATAAACAGCATTTAAAGAGGGGGGGGGGGGGGGGGGGGGTCCAAACCTAACACCTTCCAGCAAAGGGTATTGGATCTTGTGGGGGCAGACGCCCCCACCCCCCTCTAATCCACCTAAGCATAATGTTAATATATAATTAAAAGGATGATATCGGATTTGGATGCTTCACCTGTATATTTAAGTAGTGCCATACAGGATCTGATTCAGGTTCCAACTCCAACAAGAGCCTCACTATATTTTCAAGCTACAAGAAGCATTAAGAAACCACACATAAGTAAGAAGTGAAGTTTGAAATCTCAAAACTTTTTAAAAACTAATATATGAGTAAAATTGTCAGCATTTAAAAGGTTGAACCCAACGCCAAGGTCTGTAGAGTCAAACCAAATGGAGCTGAAGCTGTGACTGAATCAATTTTATAAGAAAATCAATCATTTGTAAGAACAATGATAATATCAAAGTGTTTGGTGAATACTGAGATCTGACTCACCTTAACACAAGCAACACAACAACAACAATAACAACAAACCTAGTGTGATCCCACAAGTGGGGAACACAAGCAAGACAACGAAAACAGAATTACTAAATCTTCCATCAGGTATAAGTGGAATATGCTACAATTTTTATTGGCATCCCCCGTGTACTGCAAAGATAGATTTATAGTCCAGTAAGTATTTTCCTCTATCTAGTACCGCATGCCCCACAATATAAGCCGATAATTAGAAGTGTTTTGCATCTAAAACACACTCTTGGCTGAGAAGCAAGATGATACATTTGATTCTGGATAGACATCAAAAACCTTTAGAAGTAACTGAACTAGGATGAAAAGGAAGCCAACATGTCAAAAAGGAACAGTAAACACCACATAATCCGTTGTGATTGCAACCAACTTCATCCAGCATTGTTCCATTGCATTAATTCTTAAATAATCTCTTCTTGCATAGTGAGTAGATATATTTTATCAAGGACACTCATAAATGGATTCGCATCCAATGTAAAAACAACATACTTATGGGCTCGGAATTGACATTTGATAGGTGATATTGGTCCATGTAATGTGTACCAACAAATAAGCTAGCAGGTAATAGGTAAACAAACTGAGTTTACTTTGTTGCATCCTGAACGTTATTAAGCTTAAGCAACTTTCCGTGAGACTGAGGAGTCATCTCTAAAAAGCTCTTGGTAGATTTATAGAACCTACTTTCCTCTTCATTCTTCCTCCTTTTGACTTCCTTCACTGCAACAATTCATGTATTTTAAAAAAAAACTAGTAACGTCATATTATCTCAGCATTAAGGACATGCTGGCAACCTTAAGAGAGAATTACAAACGAGGAGAAAATATTACAAGGAACCTAAAAGATCTACTATCTGTTCAACTCCATCTATACATTCCTCTTTACACCAAAATAAAAGGGATATAATACAATTCTATTTAACTTTATGAATGGAACTAAACCTATCCGCAGAACATCTCTAATTCCTCTCTCTTCACACTATCCACCATATGCATGTTGGGATTACTATCCACTATTTCTTTTTGGCTCTTGCTCCCACCCCTCCTAATCCAACAGCTCAATAAATCAGCAATATTGTTCTGGCATTGGCCAGTTTGTTTCTGTGGGACTTAGAAATAGTGACCGATCTTTGAAGTTAATTTGCAACGCAAAAACAGGTGGTTGTTAAGTTTCTTCTTCCTCGTTACAAAAAGAACATCTGGAAACTATTTGAGACCCCCTTCTTTTCAGCCTCACCTGTGTTAGACATGCCTTCATAGCCACCACCCAGGAAAAATATTTAACCTTAGTTGGTGCAACTTTTCCAGATCTTCCCATGGTCCTGTTTCCCCTCCTGGTTACTCCCTCACCTCTTTTTTATATAATCTGTTCACTGAGAATTTGCCATCAGTAGCATGCCTCAACTGATTGCATCTGAAGTTGGAGAAGTTCCTTTGAAGGTGCTGACTTCTTGTAATAGTTGATCTACTCTATCCATCTCCCAATCACTCAAATATCTCCTAAGTTGAATATCACATCCATTTATGGACCAAGTTTCAGCCACTGCAGCCTTAGGCTATGTTGCTCCTCTCCATAATTGTTGCCGCACCCTGTTGGATTCTCAAAAATACACTACTTTTGGAGTATCCAACACGCTCCTGTGACATTTTGAAGAGTCCGATCAGCATAGGCCTCAGGGTTAGTGCACAAAGAAAAGAGATCAAGGTGTTCTTCAATGCCGCCTGGCCATTCCATTCATCCATCCAAAAAAGAATTCTGTTACCATTTCCACCTTATGAGTAACATTCTCCGAGAGTTTGGTCCAAAGACCCCTTCTTGACCTCCAAACTGAAACTCCATAAGTACTAGTGACAATATTGCACCATGGCCTGCTCTGCCCATACTTGTTCTGAATAACCTCCTTCCACTGTTTCTCCACAGACACTTCATCATCAAACATTCATTCTGTACCCTCAGATTCTGATACCAAGACCACCTGAGTTCTTGCTAAACTGTTGTCCATCTAACTTAGTGCATACCCTTACCTTCCTTGTTCCAAGCCACATAAAATCCCTTCTCAGTTTGTCTAGCTTCTTGACCACTCTGGAAGGTATTGGAAATAAAGACATAATATAGGTTGGTAATAAATCTAGTACTGCATTTATCAATAACAATTTCATATGTTCTTTTGTAGATTTTGTCTACAGAATATTTAGAACTTTATATTGAAACATTACGATGTGTTTGAAAACTAAAGACAGAATATGTTAAGGAGATAAACCCGTCCTAAAATTAATTGTGGGATTAGTTATCCCTTATCCCTCGTACCAAATGAGCCCTTAGAGAACCAACATCCCACCATTATGTCATCCTGCACTTTCCATATATAGTACCTCCCAAAAAAATAAACTCAAGTTGGTAAAATAACTAAAGGATGACTTACGTTTGTCAGGTCAATATTAGGATCTTCCAGAGACTTGTAAAGCATGCCTTTAAACTCTTGCATAACTTTTTCAACCTCCCCAACGACACGCTTCAAAATTCCCACCTGAAGAGGACACATAAAACAATTTGTGACCAAAACAAAAGCAAAACCTTTGAATAATGATGACAAAAATAACAAAAAAAGGCAGAATCTATATGCAAAAAAGTAGAAAAACTAAACAAAGAAACTTAAGTAATAATCAGAAAGATAACCTCAAAAGTGTCAAGCATCATAAAAGTTGAGCACACATATTTACTACTAATCAAACTAAAGACATCAAAAGCATGAAACTCGATCAAGTAACGTTTTACCATGTTAATGCCTACCCAAAGAATCTACATTTCAAGGAGCATAAACAACCTGCACTAGTCAGAAATAAGGGAGGCCTTAAAGCATTTCTTTTAAATAAGCATGGAGTCATTAAACAAGGCAATGAGGACATTTTGTTTCATCTACATTGAGGTGAACACTGATGGGTTAAGCAAAGAAAAGACAGTAATTCCTAGCATATAGCATTCACATTTGCCAAAATGTATGTCGTAGGAAGGGCCTCGCTGAAACTTACAAAGTAACTCTAAAATAGTTCTTGAAGTTAAGATTTTGCTACCCAAATTACTAGAGTTGAACATTGTCAACAGCCATGTACTAGTTTGGAGTATACTACGTTACTGTGACCACAAGGAATCTTCAATTAATTGATTACTAAGACCAGGAAACATAGGGCGCCACACACAGAGAGACGTGTACATGCATAGCTGCAATAAACTTTTGCATTTTCTTGTGTAAGGGTACCTGTTTGCAGGATTGAGATAAATTTTAAACAGTTTCAAACAGAAAGCAAAATCCATTACTGCAAGTGTAAAAGTCACAGAATAACTAATTAAATCTTGCATACATGAGAAGGCAGCACAATTGAATTTGCTTTCCTGTACTCCCTGACTGCCAGGTCATATTCACCCTTACTAATGCTTTCACGAATGGCACTGGGTAAGTTAAACAATGTTCGGAACCTCTGAATCGTTCCTTGAACAGATCTTATCTTCTCAGCTTGAGCCTACACGGAAATGTTTCTATTTGTTACATACTAACAACAAAAGAAGAGTAAAAAATTCCACACCTTACAATAATCAACTTCACTAAATGGATCGAACTAAAAAATACAGCATCACGTCCTATCTACCTGTCTTTCAAATAGTGACTCAAAAGCACGGTTAGCAATTGAATTGACTCCTTGCATACAATCATATAAGTGTTTAGTTCCAGAACCTTCAGGGTCTTCCTCAATGCGTCTCAACTTTGATTCAATATCTATAGCAAAAGCATCAAACCCAATTAGATCTACCGATGATAAATCAAAGTAAGACGAGAACTCCATCCCAAACAAGATGTGAAGCTAACCATCAATCGTAGTTTTGCAAGATACAAAACAATCAAAATTCTCTTTGACCAATTGTTTTTTCTGCTGCATACGTCCTTTAAGATCAGTCTTCAAAGAAACAGAACCTCCCTCTAAGTCTGCTGCACCAGTATCTTGGTGGATTCGGGATATAAACAATTTTGAGTCAAACTTCTCAGAAAAATAATTCAACCTCTCTGCAAAATTGACACAAGATCTTGTAAACAAAAAATCAGTTGATTAGAATCAAACATAACTCGCCTGAGATTGAGAAACTATAGAAGGAAATCATATTAAAAAGTGAAAATAGGAAACAAGTAGTCAATCAACAAGATCCTGCAAGTTCTCGGGCTTTAAGCAAAGAGAGAGAAACAACGCGCATGATTTACAGAAATTACAAAAATCACTTAACATATGAGAATTCAGTATTTATGACATCAAACTTCAATGAAACTATTAATTTAGCATCCAATATACAATAATGCCTACATTAACACAACAGCTCAAATGTAAACATCATTAAGATGTAATTCTAACTAGGCCACTGAGATATAACTCCAGCCCTTAGTTTTCAAAAGTCAACCGTTAAAAGAACTGATTTGCAGTATTTAATTGCAATAGAAAATGTACCAAGGGAACATGGAAAAGAAGCGTAGAATCAGAAGTAACAGCAGAAGAAGGCTAGCATGAAAGAAGAAGAAGAAAGAGTCATTGTCTGAAGAAGAAGAAAAAGAGGACCAAAGAAGTAAATCAAAAGTGAAGCAACCTCTCTCTTTCTCTTCTTTTTTTGCCCTCATTTGAACTCAGATCCAAAAGAAATGGTAGATTCTTGCATAGATCACTTGGCACTTCACTATCTGAAGCACATCACTTTTCTCATGAAGTGACAACCCCTGGCTTCACATTACTCTGTCTCTTTAAGTGACAAAACCATGTCATTTAACAGTGCCTAATATCCCTGAAGTAAAACAACAGGACAAACCGTTGCTTGGTTTGTGGGATACTGGTGGGATAAGGAGAATAAAAATAGTATGCCTAGAACTAGTACATCACAAATCTTATAATTTTAGTAATGTTCAAATTTTATACATAATCATATCTCATGATCACTACCATCAAACTAAACAATGCATTCAGATTCTGTACTACTCTACAATGATATAGACCAATCTTCAATTTCACTAAGTCTGTTCAATACTTCAATAGATTTAAAAATTGTTTTTTTTTTCTCTAAATCAATTACAGAATATTTCATCACATTTCACAAGCGACACTTTGATAGTTGTGTTTCAACCTTCAACCTAAGTAATCAAAGCTCATTTCAAGGTAAGGGTATAAGATGGGGATTCACATGACTGCAACATCTTATAAGTCCAGAGCTATCTCTATTAAGATGCTCCTTCCCACATAGGATCTATAGAAGAAACCCATTTGGGCTTCCAATATGGAGGCAGGTGTTAATTTCCTTCTCTTTTCTTTTCCTTTTTTGGTGTGTGGGGGGGTGACCCCTAAGGAATAGCTTCAGCAGTTTCTTTTTATAATATGCTCAGTCAAAGTCAAAGCATAGTTCTAGTGCACGTCCTGCATTTCTGTCCACCGCCAATGATATTCTCAAGAGCTGCACGCATCACCAAGGGATCTCCCCACCAACAAAACTGAGGAAATAGTATAATTAGAAAATCATACCACGGTAGTCACCAATTGTTAGGCTTGTCTAGTAATCCAAATGCCTATTTCATACACATACAAAGTGCACTACAGCAGCACCCCCAGGACCCATGCTTTTTCCTTGACCACAAAATGATAATTTCCTCATAGGATAGTAGAACATCATTACCAAGGGATCCACCACATAAGGAATGAAATATCTCTGTCTTAATCTGCTTAGGAGCCTAAACATTCACATGCCTTACCATGTGAACTTGAGATCATGATATACGTACAAGCACTACAAAGAGAGCACAGCTACAGGCCTAAAGGATAATGCAATAAAACAAGCTCACTCAACTGTACTAAGAGTAAGTACCCACAGTTGAATCCAGAAGCATCCAATCGCTGTGGGTACATAAAGTGCTATATCATCCACCGTACAAAGTGTATTATGAACAATTTTTTTGTCATGCAGATTCATCTCAAAATTTCCATTGCATAGCACATACAATTTGGGATGTTAGAAAGAGGCTGATGATAAGGTATTTTCTGAGGGAATACTAATGAATAAGGAAAGGCAAGGAAGCCCTAACACAATAAAGTAATTTGGTGACAGAATTAAGTACCGCGAGTTTTGGGGTCTAATTCGCCTATAGTTGGGGAACTTGATGAGTGCTCACTGATCATCCTTAATGTTCTATTGTCAACTATCCTGTAAGTACAAAGAAGCCTCTCATTTAGCACAAGAAATTACCAGTGAACAATTTGAAATGCATAAAAAGTAAGATGATAGTAAGTACCCCAATCTTAGAGGATCTATGCATTCCATGCCACGAGGGAAAGACTGCAAACTCTGAAGTGCCTTCTTTGCCAATGCCATCTTCTCCTCCTCAGCCTTAATTTGAGTGGCTGGAATTGCTCTAGCCTCCCTCATGTCCCGAACATGACGTCTTAGCTGAAAAAGTTTTGATCTTTAAGTTTGGCATGTATCTGTGAATGCTTTAAACACAACTAGCCAAGAAGAAAAATTTGTGCACACATTCTGATTTACAATGATAAAGAAGGCTATTTATCCACTTCCACATGGAATGTAACTTGAAATTCATATAAAGGACCTCACAAAATAAAACTGACTCCTTCAAATGAACAACTCCCAAATGTATATGATACAAAGAGTAATCTCTGATAAGTAAATAAGCAACTATAGTGCTAACACGGACATACCAATAAAGCAAAATCCCTTTTGGTATTAATTTTTTTCTTTTCAATACTTCCTCCACACCACTTGATTCAACTAATACTTAGAAAGTGCTGTTAATCTTTAACATGCAAAAATACTACCAAAACAATATCACCATACCATATCCTACACCTTGACTAATTATCATAAATTCCTACTTTACATGGAACCAATTGTCATAGATTTTGATGATGAAACTTAAAAATTGAAGATTTGAGTTTTTTGACTATGTGTTTTGGACTTGCATTTTTGGGAAATTTGAAAATATTTATCAAATTTCATAGTTAAACAGATATTTCTATGGTCAAATGCTAGCTTACATACCTCATCTTCATCAACGCGTTTCCAGCAATCAGGTTCACCACCTTGCCAGTGTTCATCATCATCCTTCCCAGCTTTCGGAGCCCTTCTTTTCGAGGCACCCTTACTTTCCTTCTTCGAGGATGCGTGATCCTCGTCTCCAGACGAAATGCTGAGAATTTCTAAGTCCGAATCGTCTTCTTCCTCGTCCACTCCCTTACTATGCTTCTGCTGCACCTTTCTGTTCGGCGTCGCATCCATACTTCCCGCTCTTCTGCCGCCGCTCCTCGAGTTCGGCTTCGGCTTCGGTGGTGGCTCTGACGGCTTCTTACCAGTTGATTGCTCCTGCAATGCCATTTGTAAGAGCTCATCTTCGTCACTGTCGCTTGACATTTTTGCTCAGTAGGTGAATTTGAATTCGCCGATGGTAATTGATTCCTCTTTTTGCTGTTAACAGAGAAATTGTAGAGGGAATTTGGATATGCCATACTGAAACAAATATGAAAAATCGCGTTGATCCTCTTTTTTAGAGCAAAGGAAAGACCTTTTCCATGGAGTATCTATTTTCAAATACTAATTTTATTTGGAATAATGATTTTGTACACGTCATCTTCTTTTAGACCATATGTTATTTTTAGAAAAAAATATTCGAAATATTTCTTTATTTGGCGTGAATTATAAGTTTTATAACCGTCTTAAAAAATACTTATTTGAATAACTGAACTTAAATACACATGAGTAAAATACACTCTTAAATTCTCACCAAGTTCAAAGTGTTTTCAACACTTATCTCGAATTTTTGTTTAAGACCTCCACACTCCTACAAGAGTTTGAGACCACTTGATATGTCATGTGATAGATCGGGAGTGTATTTAAGTAAAGGCAGACCCACTCACCCACCTTTGCTAGTGAGGGTGGACGTGCATTCGTCAGCTTCGGAAAAAAACATGTGTATATATGTATATTTATTTAGAAAAACTGGCAGAAATTATGATTTAATTAATAGTGCACTCATAAGGAGCATAAGAGTGTTCTTGTGAAGGAAGAGGAACCAACTGCGAGACCAGAGGGGTGTTTTTAACATTTCTCTCCTGTTTTTTATTGTTGCATTATTGATAAGTTCATTTTAATTTTTTTAATATTTAATTAAATATATTTAACCTTCAATTAGTACAAATAGATATTTTAAATCAATTTATGTAAGAAACATATTATATTCGAGCTATTTTCAAAGCTATATTATTGTCGAATACAGTAGAATAATATAAGCTTAATAAATATATGAGTTATTAAATGGTGAAATCGTTAATAATTATAGTAATTTTGCATTTTCACTAAGTTAAAAAAATATATAATTTAATTAATTAAAACATAGATAATCATCATTTGGAAATAACTAAATGAATACATGCACACAGAACACAATTTTTTGAAGATTGCTCATTTATATGCAGGTATTATTATCACAGTAGCTAACAAGCTAACGTGGAACATACATCTGTAGTCATAATTGATGATTTTGTGACTTATAACAACCAGAAATTAGCTATATTTCAACAAATTAGCAATGAGCATCAGCAAGAATTGTGAAGTGAGATAATGAATGTAAATGTACATCCATTAGTTTTTCTCTTCAGCAGCATAAAGCCTTTTGATCTCCTCCACATCATCGTAACTACCGAGGAATATTGGCGCCCTTTCATGTATCTTCGTAGGAACTAAGTCCAGTGCCTGCATAACATGGTCGATCAGAGTTCATATAGCCGACCCCAACTTGTTTTGGACTAAAGCGTAGTTGTTGGCTTCATGTTTTCATTAGATTAAAGTAAAATCTTAATCTTGATGAGAATTCTTTGGCACAAGGACTAAGTGGAGTCAAAACAAACTTGAAGTTTCTATTTTATTGGTGTAACTAAATATTCAGATGTCTTACCCGCTCCTTTCCAGTAAATGCTTGACCTCCTGCTTGTTCCATCAGAAATGACATGGGAAATACTTCATAGAGAACCCTGTTTCGTATGATTTCATTTGTAACCTTTCAGAAAATTATTGTTGAGAAGTTTCTTCATGACTCAGAGGATGTTCATAACTTACCGCAGCTTTCCATTGGGGCTTTTCTTATCAGCTGGGTACAAAAAGATACCTCCGTAGAGTAAAGTGCGATGAACATCAGCTACCATGCTGCAAGTTACAGTCCATATTCATGTAAAATGAGGTGTTCTTTCCATCAGGCAACATCTTTAACATACATCTAACAAAACATGGCAACACAGAAATCCACCTTTTGCATTTTAATCAGGTCAGCTAAGCAGCACTCTAGCAATAACAACAATTGAAACTACAAAACACCAACATCAAACCCATTGTCGGTTTTCAGAATTCTCAAGACCTATTCATATCTCAATGAAATATAAGGAACTGTTTTAATAAAACCCAACCAATCCAATCAAACCAAACAACTCGAGCTTGATTATAAGTGTTTGACATACATACGACCCTACCTGCACATCTCATATGAACCTTTTAACTTTTGAAGTATTGAACTCTAGTTAACTTATAAGAGCTGCCAGATGGTCACTGAATGATTCTTATCATGCTATTCACATTAGCAATAGATGATTCGCCAGAAGTCTTTCATCTCTATTTCTACGTACATCACACACAAGAAACTAAGCAATTTGAGCACTTAAAATCTCACACTACACAGCTCAAGTATACCTTCCAATATATCTTAAAGATTTGGGTGAAGAACCATCCTTGGGGAATTTGCAGCTCTCCACATATCTGAAATTTGAAGAAAAGTAAGACATCATAGAAACTGGAAAATGTATATACTAAACTCATTGAACATACTTGGATGTTGGACCATCCCAGTTCTTGGCATTTCCTTCATTCACTGAATAAATCTTCCCTTTATTCGGTATCTGCATGTGGGAAGCAATGTAATGATCTTGGTAAGCAGAAAGATGCATCAACCAAAATAACATAAAACAAACAAATAGAAAATCATAAATTGGAATGTTGACAGGCAGAAAATAATATTTACAAAAGCTAGACAAGGAAGGAGATACGTGTGCACTTTGAATAGAAGTAAACAGCTGAGGAATAATGTTACCTTGATATCAGGATGAGTCAAAATGAACTCGCCTAAAGAGGGGTCAAGTGTAAAACCATTAACACCTTTTCCAGTGCTCAAGACAAGCTGCAAACAACCAAGCCCGAAAAAGATATTGTCACTAGTACTTGTGGTTCACGCTTGGAAACAATTTCCAATAAGAATCATTAATAATTCATTTAGTTTTTGGATCTATGTTTGTTGAATCCAACAACAATCTCAAGTCTTGCCAATAAAAGGCAATATCCATACCGTACAAGAACTTCCATACATGCAGTATCCAGCAGCTAACATATTCTTTCCAGGTTGCAAGACATCATCTAGTGTTGGTTCATGAACATCTTTCATCATGTAAATCCCAAAGATCTGGATAAAACAGATGCATTATGTCATTGTGCCATCACGTAAGAGGTAAAAGTTATAGTAGTTAAAAGCCTGTGAATGAAAAATTAATAGCTCAAAGTGGAATGATACCGTTCCAATAGAAACACCACAATCAATGTTGGAAGATCCATCCAGAGGATCAAAAACTACACAGTACCTGTTTTAAATATTGTATGAAATGCAGTCATATCAATGAAAACAACTTATTCTTAAAAGTTGGGAAAACTATGAAGAGCTACAATACGTACTTTCCACGCTTAGATGGCTCTACAAAAGTAGCTTCTTCGTCTTCCTCAGACACGAGAATGCACTGTATAATTAGAGATCTTTAAGATCGCGACCACTAGATATTTCAGTACAGTACATTAAAGATGAGTAGGTCTTACTGTTCGGCCACTGCTGACCAAAGCCTTGATGAAAACTTCATTTGAGAGTACATCCAGTTTCTTTTGGTCTTCACCCTTCAATTACAAATTATAAAATTTCGAAAAGAAACAAAAAACTAAATGCTTTAAAACTACGTGTGCAAGCATTTCTAACAACTTGCCTGCACATTAGTCTCACCAGCAAGCCCAAGGAGTTTGGCCAAACCTGCCTGAAAAGATGTATCCACAGGTACATACATCAATAATGGAAGGAAGGATAAAACAAAACAACGTAAAACTAGTTTAAAGTGCATGCTTAAAGAGTCACTGCAGTAAGGCTTCCTATGCCTATGACCATTAACATAATAACGAAAGATAGTTCAGAGAGCAGCTCTAAAGCCAATCCACCAGGAACTGCTGTAAATTTGAATAGAGAAGAAAGAATGAAGAAATGACATTCCTTCATTCAACTAAGCACTATAAGGAAAACAACTTCATCAAAGAAAATCCCAAATTCTTGTGATGAACTTGTAAAATTCAAGCTTTATTATAAAAAAAAAACAAAATTGATAACCGTGGTGTCCCGGTCAGCTTGCATGATGCCTACTACCTCCCCCAAGCACAGGTACCGGGTAACTTTATCAATAAAAGCTTGGACAGATGAAAAGAAACCACCTAATATTTTGCCTCCATTGGGAATTGAATTTGAGACCTCAGGATTCTCAATCTACTTCATTGGCCACACCGTTGGGTGCAAATTCAAGCTTCATTTTCACACTAATTAAGAGTTATTTCTTTTTAACTTTACCACAAAACTAACAGACAATGATGAGAAAACCTGAAACCGAATAGCGTAGCCATACCTGGATTACCAATAAAAAAGAGATCTCTCAATAGCAAGATTATACATTTTCATGCATAGCCTAAGATGAGCAATCCTTTTCTAAAGCAAATTGCCAACCCATCATACACAAGATTATTTTTTTTATGACTATTCTGTCCAGCTGCTTGCACGCATTATAACTTTTCCACTTAGTACCTGTTATCTCCCACCCGTACAGGCATCATACACACAAGATTATCTTTTTATGACTATTCAGTCCAGTTAGCTTGCGCACACTTGGACTATTCCACTTAGTACAGGTAATCTCTCACCAGCACTTTCATCATAACAAGATTTATCTTTTTTATGACTATTCCGTCCGACTAGCTCCGATCAACTTGCACATACTTCAACTTTTCCACTTCATTCATGTTATCTCCCACCAACACATGCATCATACGCAAGTTCTTTTTTAATTACTATTCTATTCATCCAGCTTATGCACACTTTGACTATTCCACTTAATACTTATTATCTCCCACCAACACAATCATCATACACAAAATTATCTTTTTTATGACTATTCTAATTTCTATCCATCCAGCTTGCGCACACTTTGAATATTCCACTTAATACATGTTATCTCCCACACCACCCGCACAGGCATCAAAACCCAAATAACAATTAGAGACGAAGAACATATAATGATTGGATGAAGAAATTGAGCATGGAAACAAATGTGATTAAGTAAGATTGTAACAGTCAATCAAAGTAAACGATCTCATCTCTATTATGTATAGTAAGTAAAACTGACCTTGTTAACAGCAGTACAAACAAATTTGCAGCCAAGAACAATATGACTGAGCAAAATAGTGAAATCGCCGCGAGATTCAGGGTATTTACTCTGTTCATTCAACACGAACCTAGTTATAGTCATCAAATCAGTCCGATGAGCATCTGCTGCGTGATCCATCGCTCTACTTTCTTCCTTCTTCTCCCTCAAACTCTTCAGTTACTAAAAAAACAGTATATTCAATTCTAAATCAAAATCAAAATATAGATTGGTGGAAAATTGGGTGGCACGCAATTCCATGTTCACACCAGTAGTCCCGCAATTCGAGGCTCCTATTTAGCAGTATTTTTAGCATTTTTCTAGACAGATTCACGCCGCTATAAGAGTTTGAGATCATATACTATATTACGTAGCAAATTTAAATGTGCTTAAATTTAGAAGTGTTTTTAATATTTTATAAGTAAATGAATTTAATATTTTTAAAATGTGTATACATAATATAAAGATTTCTTCGATCAACAAATAAATAAGCATGTGTATTTTTTTTAATTAACATGATAGACAAATATATGGAAAAATAAATAGGGATATCAGATATGTGATGTCAATAGAACCTTTATATGACACGTGGAGAGATAAGCATGAGCCCAAGGTGGCCAATGGTTAGCAGAAGATAAAGTATTCTCTACTGTTTCAAAAGAAAAAAGTTTATACTGAGTTTTTTTTAAAAAAAAAAAACTCAATTCTAAACTAAATTGATTTATGTACTAAATTATTTTTTAATTTTATGACTTTAAACATAATATGAAAAGCTAAAATTATATTACAGGAAAAATACTATTTTTTATAAAGGGGTGGTTCTATGATTTGGACTTGAGATTTTCATGTTAGAGATTTCAAATTCGAAATCTCTTGTCAACGAATGGCAAATTCAATAGACCAATAAATCAAACCTTTAATATCAATATTTGTATATATATTTATTAAATTAATTTGACCTATATATAATAATAATAATAATTTTGCATTCTAGATCGAGCTTGTCGCACTAAACTTATCTAATATGAATTTGCCTTCTGGATTTGAACTCATTGAACCAGACTTGGCTAGTGCAGGTTTTTGACTTCTCCTTTCTCCTCTCCTTTTTCTTTTTTTTCTCCTCTAAAACATGGAAAAAACTATGAGAAGCAAAGGTGTGGAAAGAAATGGAGTGGAAAACTAACAGAAAATAAGATTTTGCAGTGAATTGAAACTTCCCTGAAAATCTTGTAGGTTCTCTCTCTACCTTATTCATCCTTTATATATGATTCCTTTACTTACTTTTCTTTCTCTAAATTGATTTGAGTGTTTCCCTTTTTCTGAATAAATGTATTGAATTACTCCTCTCATCAAGAATTGGAAATGTATTGATTTTTTTCCCCTTCTTTGCCAAATATAGCTTCACCAAAAGGGTGTAAATGGGGAAAAAAAATCTATTCTTGGTGAATATTTTGATGTAACACTCATATGCTTTCAAGGGGGGTTTCTGTTTGATGTTTGATAGGTCAATGAAGGAAAAAAAACAGATGTTGCTTTGTTAGCTTCCTTAACTTTTGAGTTTTGAGCATAGAGGGTTGTATTTTGTAAAAGGGGTGTTTCTTTTTGTTGTAAACTAAATGATGAAATTGATTACTTTATCCAATTACAGAAGGAAAAAAGGAAAACCCCAAATCTTGAATTGAATTTGGCATTACATTGAATAATCAGATTCAAAGACAAATCTTTAAATTGAATTTAAAAGGTATATATCCCTGGTGAGAGTCTGTTGAGAATGATAAGTACCATTTGAGGTCTTTGGTCACTTCGAATGTTGTTCTCAATCCGAGTTCTAGAGCTCTCTGTTTATAGCCAAAATTGCAAGAGAAGTGAGGTTCCAATTCTTCAACTCTATGTTCATTTTTGTTTCCTTTTCGATTTGATCTTCTGGCGATGTGATTCTGTGATTCATGGAATGGACAATTTGTTTGTTTAGAATGAAGACGAGTTAAAAGGAATAATAATGGTTTGCTAGTTAGGTGAATTTGGGATGAAAGATGATTTGTGTGATTAAAGAAGCCTAATTGATTAATGATTTAGAATAACTTCTGTTTAAATTATGGAACAAGTTTTATTGTAATATTAGTCTATTGAATGAGGTTCAGGTAGGCAATTTGAGACATTTTTGATTGCTTGTGTGATTTTATTTGCTTTCTAATATCATGTATCCATTTCCCGAAAGAAAACAAATGTGAGAATGGAGGCCGTTTGTGGACAAGACCCCGAGACATCGGGTGAAGTATAGAATAGGTTAGTTTAGGTAGTGTAGGTTTACTTTTATTGAACTTCTTTTATTTTGGATTGTAATAGTTCAGATTTGTTTTAAACTCTTCTATGCGCGTAAGGCGTATCTTTGTCTTTACTTTGAGAAAATGTAGAGTATAACATTTGGAATAAGTTTGTGACATAAGAAACTGCTCCGGCCATCAAATTTGATATCGTAAGCTTGTCGTTTTGTTTGTCTAACAGTCTTGAGTTTTAGAACTTGTATTAGTGCGATGTTTTACCGTTGTCATGCTAACTTTAGAATCATATTTCTTCTCTACAACAAACAGGGACTTCCTAATTTTATGGTTTCAGTATTCTTCACTTACACGAATGATTGATTGTTCCGTGATGTTCAGGCAAATGGTGCAGTCTTGAGGTTTGGAAGATGGGCACTGTCAATTACCTGGAGGCACTGAAGCTGCAAGAGAAGCTGACATATGATAGAAAAGCTCTAAAAATTACTGATACCCTATTATCGCTACAACATTCACCGACGTATACAGTTGGCAAAAGGGAAACAGTTCATAATCTACTCATTCCTGATTCAGAGCTCAAGTCCATGGGGGCAGAACTTCACTATACGCAAAGAGGAGGTGACATTACTTTTCATGGTCCTCACCAAGCGATCTTATATCCCATTGTTTCGTTGAGAGATATTGGTTTAGGGGCAAGAATGTACGTTGAGAAGCTTGAGCTAACCATGATTGAATTGGCATTTATGTATGGTGTGAAAGCATAGGTTGGACAAAAATGTGAAACTGGGGTTTGGGTTGAGGACAGAAAAATTGGCGCAATTGGAGTTAAAATTTCATCTGGGATCACATCTCATGGATTAGTATTCAACATGGACCCTGATTTAAACTATTTTAAGCATATTGTGCCTTGTGGGATTGTCGATAAAGGTGTTACTTCTTTGAAGAATGAAGCAGGTGTAAAGCTTCCTGCTGAAGAAGTGATACAGGAGCAGTTGATCGCTTGTTTTGTAAGAATATTTGGGTACAATAATGTCATTTTAAAAGATAAGTCCGTGTTATAATTTGATAAGCACTAATGTTGACATATGATGGTACATTATGTGACTAATTTTTGTATAAGTAGGCATTGTTCATTCATTTGATCAGATTAGCATTCTGGACAAGTAAGCTATGATTTCAAAAGCAGATTTCTTGTGTTGTCCTTTGAATTTTTGATATCCTTATTTGCTGTAGTTTATGATTATTCCTGAGTCTTCTAATCTGATGTCTTTGAAGAAGTCAAATGTCTTAGTTGTGGCGTGTCCTTATGTGACCATTTTAACTAGCTCATCTCATCTGTACAGTTGAAGTACCAAAGGAGTGGGCTATGTTCACTAAACTAATAACTTGTTATGAAGGCTATCAATGGTACCGATAAATTGGCTAGTGAAATCATATGTTGTTTAAATAGCTAGATACACTTCAATGTAACAAGGCTTGGCTCCACACATGCCCGACACCCCTGACCAAACTGATACCAGGTTTGTGAGAGGTAATTTTAGCGTGACATAGTTCATGTTTGGAGCTCATTGCATGTTGATTGACATGTCAAATGCAACTTTAGCGAAAGCGTTTAATCACTCTGTTGCTATATTAGGATTTTGGAGATTTTATCTTAATAATCACCATACATGCTAGTCTGCCTTTCTACCTTTGTTTCTAAACCATTTACAAATTACAGCTACAAAAGCTAGATATTTTCAATTGTATTTTGTGAACTCATTCAGGTAGGAAGTTTGGAAACAGTTTGTAATTTTGTTGGTTCTCTTTGGCCTTATCAACAGGTCGTTGTGGTTGTTTTTTTTTCCCATTGGTATTGTGCAGTTATAGCATCAAATGGCTAAAATATTCTTGCTTTGTGCAGTTGAACAATGAGATGACCAGTTGTTGTGTGGAGAATAGGTAACAAATAGTTGTTTCTAAGTTGTTAATCTTCTACACTTGTGCCTTTGTTTCATTGCAATTCATATTTTTGTTCTTCAATGTATCCATTGATATATTTTGTACATGTACCAGGAGTAAGTGGATATCTTTCTTAGGTCCCGTTTGGCCATGCGATATGGTATCGTGATATAGAATCATGATATGGTATCATAATATGGAATCATGAGATGAAATTGAAGTATTGTTTGGACATGCGATATGAAATTTTTGTATTATATATTGTCTCATAAACATAAGAATCTCATAAGTTATAAAACTATTAAAATAGTCTCAATTGTTTATTCAATCAATAAACAAAAAAATTTAAAATCGCATAATAAATTATTACAAAACTATTTGTTTCCCACTTAAGTAACTGTTTTATCAAACCTTAATTCAATAAAAAAATTAAACAAAAATTGTAGTGAACTAGTCTTTAATATAATCCTCTCACATAATAATAACAATCTCCTCACGTTGAACTTGCATTTCTCAATCAATTTTCACTTATGTGTTAATGGCTCATCAATTTGTATATACTTATGGTAAAGGTTACACATTCTTCAACTCCATACTGCATGAAAGAATAGTTCAATCTCATCAATACAACCACCACCACCACCACATCAAACTCAATGTAATCACACAAATGGAGTCTAGAGAAGATAAGATCACACGGCGTTACACCTATCTACCTTTGTGAGGTATAGAGGTTGTTTTCAATTGATCCTCTAATTTCCAAGTTTGGGACCAGCAATATGAAGGAGCTCACAAAAGCAAAGTTTGTTCAAAGTTATCAATATTTGGAGAAAATCAAACGAATGTAAGAAACTACTAGATGTTTCATTCTTTGTCATTCCACATTAACAATATCAAATTTCAGAGTTAAGATGAATTTTTCATTTTCATTTCAAGCAAAAACACACTAAACCAACTAGTTACACAAAACCAGAAAACAGAACTAAGTACTACATTTTAAGCCCTTTCACCCCTAATACGTCTAGCTAATTGCATATCCTTTGGCATAATCGTGACTCTTTTAGCATGAATTGCACACAAATTAGTATCCTCAAAGAGACCCACCAAATACGCCTCAGCCGCCTCCTGAAGTGCAGCTACAACACTGCTCTGGAATCTCAAATCTGTCTTGAAATCCTGTGCAATCTCTCTAACCAGTCTTTGAAAAGGTAGCTTTCGGATCAAAAGCTTTGTGCTCTTCTGGTACTTACGGATCTCACGAAGAGCCACTGTTCCTGGACGGAAACGGTGAGGCTTCTTCACTCCTCCGGTAGCCGGTGCTGATTTCCTTGCAACTTTGGTGGCCAATTGCTTCCTTGGTGCCTTTCCTTCGGTGGATTTTCTCGTTGTTTGCTTTGTTCTTGCCAATGCTAAAAACTTGCTAGAAAGTGAAAATACAGAGAATATGTTGTTTCAATGGTGAATTTGGTGAAAAAGGACAAGTGTATATAAAGGTTAGAGGAATTTGAAATTTTTGCTTTTGGGACGAAAATTTGAAACTTTAGTAAGTTTCGGCGCAGGATAATCTGGACCGTTAGATTTTAAGGGACGGTAATGATTAGGTCTTGAGATGACACGGATCGCTATCCATGTGCTTTTGTTAAAGGTCCTCCTCATTAAGGCTTGCATTGAGGGGCAATCATGTCATAAATTGGTCGTTTGGTTGTTGGATAAGAAATAAGTTATTTATATATTAATTTTTATATGATTTATACGATATTTGGTTGACAATTCAAAAATCTGCATAAGTTATGATGGAATTCATGTATTATTTTATACTGAATAGATGACATAAGTAATATACATGAATAACTAATACATGGATTCTCTCATAACTAAGTCATACATTACTAATACATGCATAACTAACTGGTAAGAGTTATATAAGGATTAGTTATCAATGAATTTATGTAATATTTTATGCAAGATTAGTTATTCGTGTATTATTTATTCCACCTTCTATTCTACATAAAACAATATTGTAACTTATGTTTCTAAATTGTAAATCAAACATCATATTAATTTTATACATGAATAACTTACCTCCTAACCAACTACCAAACAAGGGCGGACCTACATGGTCCTACATGGGTGCTCGAGCACCCATTAATCTCGTATCGAATTATATATATTTACATAGAAAGAAAGAAGAATTGTATATATTTTATTAGAGAGCACCCATAGGCAGGGGCGGATCTACGTTGAACCAAGGGGGTTCATCCGAACCCCCATCGTCGAAAAATTACACTATATATATACGATTAAATTTTTTATTTATGTGTATATATATAATATTGAACCCCCTGAACATACACCAAAGGCGTAGCTCAACGGCGTTGGGGGTTCAAGAATTCGCGCTCCTGCACGTTAGGTCGCGTGTTCGAATCCGAACAGAGGCAATTTTTTATCAGCCTTATATTTTAGGCGGGAATTTAAGATTTATTAGTTTAATCCCTAATTATAAAGTCAAATATTAAAAAGCCCTTTTCTTCTTTATTAAAACCCTGATAATCCCTAATTACAAAGTCAAATATTAAAAAACCCTTTTCTTCTTTTAGGATTTTTTCACGTTTTATTTTTTTCATCGTTATTCTTCCTTGCTCTGGTTGCTGTTGGCTGCTCCTTGTCACTGCTGCTTGCTGCTTTTGTTGGATTGGTCATTATTGAAATCTTGAAGTCTATATCCGCAATCGTTTCTTTCATCTCCATTAATAACTACTTTGGTATGTTTTTGGTTCCCTTTTTTCTTACTAGATTTCTATATACCTTATTTCGTTATTTCTTGATGTGCTTTCTTTTAGTTGGCTGAATTATTGATATCATTGAAGTTTCATTTTTTTTGTTTGGCTAATTTAATATATTTTCTTAATCTAAAATTGGAGAGATAGAGAAATATAATGTAATAATCCAATAACCATTGCTTAAGCTTTTTGGTTTTGGTCCTTATTGTGTGTATGCTTTTTTTTTAATAGTTCTGACTTTTGAATGTGTGTTTATTTCTCTTAAATTCTAACTAAACTTTTACTTTACAATCCAATCTTAATATTCAATGAAGAAGTATTTTACCCCAATATCGAAATCAAGTTTAGCCTCTCATAGTCATAGTCAATCTAACCAAGAAGAAAATGTCAATCATTCTGAAGTACCATCACATTCTTCTCAAGAATTTGATTTGAGTACTTTAAAGTTTGATCCCGGTGAAAGAACTTCAATATTGAATTATCATCCAAATCATCGTGATGTTATTAGAAGAGCATACCTTGTGAATGGTCCTTGTCAACCTCGCTTGGAGGTGCATGAGTACCCTCAAACAAATATTTCTGGAGCAATGCGTCGTTTTAATCATGAATGGTTTGATGATGTATATCATGATTGGTTGGAGTACAGTGTTAGTAAAGATGCAGCCTATTGTTTGTATTGTTATCTATTTAAAGATCACAATATTAATCAAGGTGGAGGTGAAGTATTTTCATGTACAGGATTTAAGAATTGGAATAAAAAGAGTGGTCTTGACAAGCATATTGGTCTGCAAAATAGCCCACATAATCGATCAAAAAAGAAATGTTAGGATTTACTACGGCAACAACAGTCGATTTAATCTGCATTTGAGAGACAATCTAATCAAATTAAACATGGATATTAAATCCGCTTAAGTGTTTCGGTTGATGTAGTAAGACTTCTCATAACTCAAGGACTTGCATTTCTAGGTCATGATGAATCTAAATCATCACTTAGTAGGGGTAATTTTCTTCAGATTCTCTCATGGTATGCAAAAAGATGTGACAAAATTCGTGATTATGTACTTGAACATGCCCCTCAAAATGATCAAATGACATCTCCAATAATTCAAAAAGATATTGTGACTGCATGCAAGATAGAAACAGTTAAAGCTATTCTCGAGGAACTAAATGGTGACTACTTTGCCTTACTAGTTGATGAATCTTTTGATATTTCACGCAAGGAGCAAATGGCTATTGTATTACGATATGTTGATAGAATGGGATTTGTGATGGTGCGACTTATTGACATTATTCATATTCAAGATACTAGTGCATTATCCTTGAAAGAGACAATTATTAATTTACTTGCTCAACATTCTTTGAGTCCATCATGTGTGCGTGGACAATGTTACGATGGGGCAAACAATATGCAAGGTGAGGTCAATGGACTTAAAATGTTGATTAGGCAAGAAAGTAGATCGGCTCATTCTATATATTGTTTTGCTCATCAACTTCAAGTAACTCTTGTTGGGGTCTCTAAAAAATGTGTTGAAGTGGGAAAACTTGTAGTATTGGTCTCAAATATTTTTAATGTATTGGGATCTTCTTTTAAGCGTATGGATGATTTACGAGATTCTCAAAAAGCAGCAATTCAAGATGCATTAGATATGGGTGAATTGACAATCGGTAGGGGCTTGAATCAACAACTTGGTCTTTCAAGAGCTTGTGATACTCGTTGGGTATCTCATTATAAATCTTTTAACAATTTTATTCTTATGTTTGGCTCTATTGTTGAAGTTCTTGAATCACTTGCTCTTGATGCACGAAGTATGGATGAAAGAGCCAAGGCAATGGGACATCTTGAATCTTGTCAAACATTTGAGGTTGCGTTCATGTTGCATTTGATGAGAGATGTATTAACAATCACAAATGAGCTCAATAAATGCTTACAAAGAAAGGAGCAAGATGTTGCAAATGCCATGCTACTTGTTGAAGTAGCAAAGAAAAGGTTGCAAGTTTTAAGGGATGGTGAATGAAATTCTCTTATTGCTAAGGTAGATTATATTTTGTACCAAACATGAAATTTTGATACCTAACTTTGAGGAGCCATATGTTAGCTCTTTAAGATCACGACGAAGACTTGCTCACTATATAGTCTTACATCATTACCGTGTTGAAGTGTTTTGCAACATTATTGATTGGCAACTTCAAGAGCTTAATGATCGTTTTAATGAGGTATCTACTGATTTGCTCCATGGAATTGTTTGTTTGAATCCAATTAACTCGTTTTCAAGTTTTGACAGCAAAAAAATAATGAGGATGGTTGAATTATATCCAGATGATTTTGATGAATTTAATATGGATACTCTTGAGAATCAACTTGCAAGTTACATTGTTGATGTTCGTGATGTTGATGAAAGGTTCTCTGATCTAAATGGACTTTGTGATCTTTCCAAAAGATTAGTCCAAACAAAAAAACATTCAAATTATCCTTTGGTGTTCCGCTTAGTGAAACTTGCTCTACTTCTACCAGTTGCCACTGCATCCGTTGAAAGAGCTTTCTCGGCAATGAAGTTTATCAAGAATGACTTGCGAAGTCAAATGAGTGATGATTTTTTTAGTGGTTGTTTGGTGCCTTTTGTAGAAAAAGATGTATTTGATAGTATTCCTAATGATGCTATTATTAAGACATTTCAAGATATGAAACCTTGTAGAGTACAATTGTAATGATCTATTTAAGTTTTTAGATATATGTATGTGCCTATTATTTATGTGATTAATCTTTTTTTTTGAACCCCCTTGATGAAAATCCTCCCTCCGCCACTGCCCATAGGAACAATGACTTAATTGGCATGGTGGTTTATTGTGGGTGCTCAAGGTCTTTCATTCTTTTTATTTCTTTGCCAGAGGTTCGATTCCCTCCAAAAACATTATTTTTAGTTAAAAATAAGCTCTTCTCTTACTTATTTATTCTAATTGTACTTCATTTTTATTTTTTTTCTCCCATGCAGATTGTTGGTTTTTCTCTTTCGCTAGTGGCCTTTTCTAACTTTTTTTATCATTTTTTTTACCCAAGATAATTTTTATTGTAATTTTTCTTCTCTAATTTTTTTTATTATCGTGCTTAAATATGATTGTCCTTTTTCATAACAAGTGTTAAACTTGTGCACTTATATTTGTGATTGATAGCTAAGTAATAACGAAATATACTCGAGGGGTGTCGATCCGCCACTATAGCTAAGGGAGCACCCACAACCTTGAAATCCTGGATCCGCCATTGCTACCAAACATGGTATAACTTATGCACGATTGAACACACACGCACGCACACACACATCATCACCTCCAAATAAGCTATCAAACAACCCTTAATTATACATTCTATTTGGTATTATGTCATGTATTATTAATACATAGAAAATCATGATATTAATTAACAATGCACAAAAAATTAATGTATGCATTAACATAATTAAAGACGCAATACAATCCCTATCAGTGTTAATATTTCTTAGATATCTCATGACTTAGTCCAATTATAGTTTGGCAATGGTAGAGTTGCGTAACATAATTATGAAATAATTTATTTAATATACGTTCAATTGTTTCACTTTTCTTTAACTTTATCTAATTACTTTATCTTGGTATAGAAATCACTAAAGACAACCTTTCACCAAAGTGATTTTGCTTAGATGCAAACTTGCAAATTTATGTTGCTCTCCTTCTTCAAAAGTATTATTATGTTCATATTAATTTTTTCATAAATACACTATTTTTGAAATTTTTAATAATATTTTCTTAATAACTTAAATATAATATCATATAATCATGGACGCACATAGTTCCTTAAGCAAATAGTGCAATAAATAAGTGGTCATGCATGTTGTGCAAAAATCACAACAACCAAAGTTTTTTTTCTCTTCCTTGTTAATATTACATAATTCACGAGGCAAGATTACAAGAACATAGAAACTACATAAAAGGTACACGATTGATGATGATAACCTGACTAAAAAGCTCAGTTAAAATAAAAACCTAATAAGCATCAACTAGTACATACAACATACTGAATATATTGTTTTCGTTGTACGTAGCACATACTATATTAAGTTACATAACAAAAACAAAATTAATAAGCCAAGGCAATTGATTTCCTCTCAGGAAATTGCACTTGATAATTATTGCTACTAAAAACTCTTTCCTCAGTAGAAGAAACAGGATTAACTTGAACAATATTAGAATGTGGATAATATCTATAAACACAAGTTTGTATTGGTTGTTCTTCTTGTGATGATGCAACCCTTTGTGGACTAGAAGAAGAAGATGATCTTCTTTTTCTACCTTCCATAAAGGAAAGTCCAAGATCTCTACTTAAAGTTTTCACAAATTCTATTTGAGGTGCCATATATTGTAGAAATTGAAGAAAGTAGATAACTTATGAGTTGTTTTCTATTGTATAGATAAAATTGATTAGAGACTCTTTATATAGGCATTGAAAAAAGGGGACTCAAAAGAAATAGAGTACAATGTAGAGAAGTTGAGAAAATGACCAAAAAAGTCCCTTAAGTTTGAGGGTAGATTCAAGATAGTCTTTTAAGAATGGACTAATCACTTTGGGTCCCTTAAGGAATTACCACAAGTAAATAATTTTGGTCTCGTCAAATCTTTAATAATTTATGTTCGTTAGATTTGACGAAAATAGTGGGAAAAAATAAACCATAAACACCAAGAAAGTTCTGTCAAGTCCTTAAATATGCAACACAAAAATCTACACTAAATACTAAAAAAAAATTAAAAATTATATCAGACTCTAGAAATACATCAAAATAGCATAAACTACAAGAAAAAATTACCTCTAAATGTGAATTCTCACTAATTTGCTTCCTTTTTATCGTAGTTCGCATCAAATTTAACAGACAGTAAATATTTGACAGAGACTAAAAGTGTTAATTTTGGCAAACATAAATGATTTAAGTATTTAGTGCATACTTAGAGGACTATTTTAAATCACTTGCAAACATAAGGGACCATTTTTGTCATTTTATCTGAGAAAAGTTCTAAGAATCTATAAAGGGAATTTACCACTTCATGAACTTTATTATGATTCTTTTAAGATAAGAGAGTTGTGAGATGCTTCACATTGTATTTTATTTCTTAAGAGACTTGAGTAAACTTAAGTAAATATATACATAGTAAAAATCTATGTCAACATCTAGTTATATAATGTGGAAGGGAATATATTATTATGATATTAAGGGAGACTATTGTAAAGTGGAGATTGTGACTCCAATTATTTGCAAAATTTGAGTCAATTTCTCATAATACATAGGAATATTTGAACTAATTAGTATTGTAACTAATAAGATTATGCATCAGAATTTACTTATGAGATTACACTGATTATATTGTTGTTGTTAGACTGTTAATACTTTGATAAAAGTGGATTCCCTTGCATTGATCAGTATATACAGTGAACTTACTTGCTTTCATATATACACTTGCATGTAATTAAGAATAAACTTTTTTGGTTCTTGTCAATTCCACAAGACCTTAAAGTTGTTATAATTTCATATAAGAATATATGGGAAGTTGGAATATATATTTCATGAATAGTACTTCCTCTGTCCCAATTTATGTGACTTATTTTCCTTTTTAGTCAGTCCCAAAAAGAATGACACATTTCTATATTAAGTAACAATTTAACTATAAAATGTGTATTTTATCCTTAATGAAATGATTTACAGCCACACAAATTTCTATCATGCATTTTGGACCATAAATTTTAAAAGTCTTTCTTTCTTTCTAAACTTCGTATCGAATCAAACTACCTCACATAAAATGGAACGGAGGGAGTAACATAATTGGACCACGCACAAGTCAAAAGATGCACATCATTTCATCCATTATTCACCTTCAAGGGGAAGCTAAAGTTTGATTAGATATGGCTCATCATAATTAGAAGGAATATATGTAATTAAAGTGAAAAATCCAAATTCCAAAGTGACCAATGTTTTGACTCCACATGCATGTTGAAAGGATAAATTCTAAAAGTTGGCTTCATCTTCAAGTTAAAAAAAGAAGAAGTATATTTTCAGGATATATATAACTTGACAGGATTTATATGTAGTACTAGTAATTAAGAGGGGAAGGCCAAACATGGATTCCTATTTTCCTTTTTGAATTTATTGCTATGATCTGGTTCACAACTCCATACTGGAGCATCTGTGCATCTTCTATTCACATGTCTGAATCATCTCAGTCTCGTCTTCCTCACCTTATCCACCACTGAGGCTGCTCCACCTTGTCCTAAATATATTTGCTCTTAATTAATTTTATTTCTTTTAGTATACCTACACATTTATCTCAACATCCTCGGCCGCTACTATACAACATTAATCTTTTGGATGCACAAATTCTTAACGGGTCATCAACACTACGCCCCATACAACATAGGTGGTACAATAACCTCTTAATAAAACTTACCTTTAAGTCTTTGTGACACATTTTTATCACATAAGGTACCATCCCGCTCTAATACAATGTATAACACCATCGTCAAATTTCCCATGTATAAAACTATTTTCTCAAATTTAAAAAGGGCAATTGGTTCTAGCATCTAGTAGCAACTCCATAACATCAAATTTTGTTTCTTTCATCATCTTTTATAAAAGGGACAAGACGTTTGTAAAGTTAGCCTAGATATCCAAATTTTCTAATTTCCTGTGTTGATTTAAAAAAAAAAAAAACAGAAGAAGAAGATATTTGTAATTAATGAATAATACAACAACAACAACATAACCAGTGAGTTCCCATTATAAGTGGGGTCTAGATCTGGAGAGGGTAGAGTATACACAAATCTTGTGTTACCATAACCTCGTGGAGGTAGAGAGGCTGTTTTCGAATTTCGGATACTAATGCAATAAAAATTTGTTAATTAATAATTTAAATTCCAAAGTGGCAAATATATTGATTCCACATTCATGTCAAAAGGACAAATTCTAAAAGTTGTCTTGGCTTCATCTTCAAGTTTATAAATAATATATACTATAAGAAATATCTTTTCAAGATAAAATTAATAGGATTAATGTAGTAATAGTGAAAAGCCAGTTAAACCTCCATTGTTCAGATTCACTAATTAAACACTTTCTTAAGAAGTTCAAGATATACTTTTCTATCTGATCATCTTTCTCCAATTCTGTCTCCGAGAAATTTCTTTAACCTTTGTCATCAGTAACTGAGCCAGAATTTTTACTAAAACATTTCAAACCATGAAGAAGAAACAAAAGAAGAGGCCAGGGATTCACATTTCACCATCTATTATATATACATAAAAAATAATTATAATCATTCGAAAAAGTGTGATTTTCTATCGAGGGGTTCAACCTTACCTGGCTCCGCCCCCGTTTCCCATCACCTTGTTACCTCATACTCTTCTTGTGATATAATTAGAAGAGAGTTATTTATATCCCTATGCAATCTACTAGCTCCTCTAATCTTATTATATGGATTCCACCAAAAAAGAGATGAATATATGCATGTAATTAAGGGGATAGTTGAAGCTTCTATTATTTACAGTTTACTTCTTGAAGGTTATGATATTATTATATTGTTAAAAATGATACTTGAGTCTCACATATATATATAGCATTGGATTATCCTACCTCAATAGCTACCTTTTGAAATATGATTCTCATAAGGTCGTATTGATGATATTAGCACCACTCACC